CACAAATTATGTTGTTATGAACTCAGGCTGCGTGGCATCGTTGAGTGAACAGGGTGAACCTGACATTTACAACGTTATTCCTTGTGACGTCATTGCAATTGTGATGTAATTCAGCATGACGTATATAGAGGATACTAAACTCGCTTCCGTGTAATACAGTTTTTATATTAAACGAGTTGATGATTTGGTATCTAACGAGCGAAAGCGAGTTTGATACTAAATCTTTCACGAGTTAATAAAACTGGTATTTCATGGAAACGAGTTTAGTATTCTGTTTATTACTCTCCACCATAAATTGATAGAAACTGCCTACAGTGTGATGACTCTAAGCTTTCCACGAGTCAAGCAAGGTCTAATAACTATAAACCATTATGACATCACACGACTAGCGATTGCCGTAAAAATATTACACTGTAGTATCTTCCACGGTCGAGTAATAAACAATGTTGTCTGCATGGCGTCAACAGTGTTGCTTGTATTATTTTCAACAGTGGTATTTTAACTTCCAGTCAACAATGCTGTAGAGCGCGTGAAATCATTGTACTTCAACCAAAACTCAAGATATTTTTTTAAATTTGAAAATATTAAATCATATACACCCATATGGATAATATTCATATAACCCATAAGGATAATAGTTTGGCTGGCGTTCTAATATTATCCTAACCTCAATAGTTCAAACACCGGTACAGATATTCAGCTTGAAAAAGTTGGAATTCTCTGGTTTAAGGTCGACTGAGTAACGTCAAATACCATAAAATAGATCGTTTCAGGTAACATTCACTTTTGGATCGTACCTGAATGCAGGGATACTATAGTCTCCCTGCTGAATGACATAAAATTCGTTTTAGTAGTGACAAAGTTTGAAAATAAAAACATAGACAAGTGCGATTCGATCCTGATTCTTTTCACCGAGCGTCCTGTGAAGGCAATACAGTGCCTGTCAAGTTACCCGATAGGTGTCGCTGTATCACTTCCGCTAAAATCACGTGAAAATATCATAACAAGTGTTTCTCACCTGTTAATGAAAGGGAAGTTTTATCTGATCGACGGTGGTGGGTTTTTTAATTGATTTAACTATTCCGATCAAAGGTTCCAAAATGATTACTCTGAATACCATGTTTTGTTTCAGAAGCGGGACACACTGTCCAGGTAAAAACCGAAAACTTTCTGAAAGCAAATCGGGATAGATTCGTCATTCCTTTGCGCAAGTCAGACTCGTTCAATCAATGGTGGTTAATGAGGAAGTGATAAAACTTCCATAATTTGGCTTTTGTTCTTGCTCTGAATCATCATACTATGTCTGCAGAATCTTGAATATTTACTGCGGGATTGAATCAACCAGTGGCTGTGAAAATGAGTCACGACTCACCCTAAACTATTTACCTTATTATAGTTCGTGGTAGGTTAGTCAGATGGCCAGATGATTACTGGCCAGGTCACCAGAGTCTGACCTGTTAGTCATGTAATGACAGACAGGTCAATGTGCAGTAATTGTACTCAAATATGAGGGGGTGATTTCTCCAATGACCACTTATAAATCTACTTCAAATAAAGATATGAGTATGCCATTCATTATGTTCATATGAAACAAACAAGGTTGAATATATATCTTGTTATATATTTTTGTAAATTGCAGAGTTTTATGTGATGCAGATGTGTGTACATGTATACAGTATGCACAAATGTATGGAACTGACACACAAAAATATGTATTGTCCCAAGCAATACACAATAATATTCATTGTACCAAACTCAAGAAATATAAAGCTCCTGTTATTAAAGTGCTTATTTATTCTTACAATGCAGTACACTACACCATTTCATCACTCTACAGGACTGTCTTATTTCCTTTAATTTTGTATCCTTGGATTCCTAATTTTGTATTTCAAGGTAAAACCCAGAAGGTGGTTAGGAAAGTAATGTCTTCACAACAGGTTTTGGAAAATGGGAGAGGAATTAAAGCTTTTGCCTCTGATTTAACTGTTGATTTCTAACAGGATGTCATCCATAATTTTCATTCAGAAATCCCGCTATTTGCTGTAAATGTTCAATACTGATCAGTTTCATTGTCATTTTAGAACTTGATAATTAATATTAAAGGTGGAATACCATATAATCATGATAATATGTACTTGCAATATCTACCCTGATATACTTAGAATGTGTTTTGGAAAGTGATGTTTAATAATTTGAATATTTAGTGTTTAGTTATTGTTACCATTCTGGGGCCGGTGGGGTAGCCTAGTGGTTAAAGCGTTGTCTCGTCACGCCGAAGACCCGGGTTCGAATCCCCACATGGGTACAATGTGTGAAGCCAATTTCTGGTGTCCCCCGCCGTGATGTTGCTGGAATATTGCTAAAAGCGGCGTAAAAACAAACTCAGTCAGTCAGTGTTACCATTCTGTGATGTGGAAATTGCACTTTTCTACATTCAAGAATTATCGAAACCTTCACCCGTAGTCCCCAGTTGTGACATGGAGATCAGCTGGTCCTTTCATGTCAGTGTTCATCACTGTAAACAAGAAACAATTGATGAGATAGGAAACCTTCATCCATTTATCAATGACATATAATTTATCATGTTTATAATCATAATAATGTAATCAGCAAAGGCCAACATGTCATTATATGTGGTCAAAGTCCAACCATGATTGCTGAGTCCGGTAGCCACTCTGTTGATGATGATGATTTGGAGATTTAGCATGGGCGTATTTTGGCTCTATGTTATTAAAGGATGCAGTCAATGGCTGGAGTAAATCTGGCCCAGCAGACTGTTGTGTCTTTAAAGCACTAAACTATCCAAACAAAGCTTGTTGGTGTTTTTCCAAGTCTTCACTGTCAGCAATCAATGTATGTACAAATATATAACGGACATGAAACTAGACAGTAAGTCAATTATAGCCTTGGTTGTTTCAAGGGTATGGCAGGTTTGGAGAAAGCCTTGATTACTAATGGGAGGTTATTGTGACAGTTTGTTTCTGTGTGACTTACTAATCTGGTACAACAACAATCTACTCCATCGTGTTTGTTTATCTGAAAGCATCATTTCAACAGCAACACACAAGCACATGTCTGCTTCATTAATTAACACTTAATTTAGTTCAGTTCTGTAGTAACAACAAGGCTTGGATTTACAGTAGCTTAACTGTTTGATTTAAAGACGGTTAAGAAAGCTGGGCATACTTTGTTGATGGTACTGACAACTGGCAAGGGAAAATATTTTTGCTGTCTCAGCAGTAATTAACCAGTCTGGATATTTCCATATATTCAGTGTTGAGCATGAACTTTTGGCATTATATGGAAGGACAGTTGATGTCTACTCTTTTTAGAACAAATCTTAGTACGCTGATCATGCAAGTGGTAGTATAGACGATAACAGTGCAGCACTATTCCATTCAAGGTTAAGGATTTACATGCAGATGCAGAATGAAGTGCACATCTATACTTGTCAAGTGGTAAGATAAGTCCATTGTGTATTCCCTTGGTAAAAGCAGATAGTATACTTGCCAGATGTTGAATGTATTTTCTTTCCTCACATGTCTGATGCGCCTCTCTTAAAATACCATTAAATGACATTATATTGTAAATCATTATCAAACAACATTGATTAGACAACATTGAACAATTGAGTTCTATTGATATGCAACTGCTTTATTAGACAACATTGAACAATGGGAGAGTTCTATGGATATGCAGCTGCTTTGTTATTAATGTGAGCAACGTTTTGTGCTTGATAACAGTGTTAGTAGCTACACCAAAATGTCGCTCATGTTAGGTGAGGTGCAGTGAAGCATGAATACCCCACTCAGACACATTATACTGACTCCGAGCCAACCAGTCCTTGTTGTACCTATTAATGCCGAGCGCCAGACAGGGACCAACAAGTACCATATTTTAACGTCTTTTGGTATGACGTGGTCGGGGATCGAACCCGCGGCCTTCCGCTGTCCAGGTCGCTCATGTTAACAATAAAGAAGTTGTATATCCATAGAACTCTCCCCTTGTTCATCACTGCGACTTGTACATGCCATTCAAAGACATTATTAGACAACATTTTTAAAATTTAATTAGTCATTAAAGTCCATTTTGGATTATTTGTTTATGCAGAGTAACTAGATTTTTGGAGAAACCACAACAGTCCCTCAAGATTTTCACTTGTCTCAGAATACTGACTCCTGTCCTAGAATAATATAGATGATGTCTGATGATTAAAAATATGGTAGGTTTTTAGCTTTTGAAACTGAATCATTGTGATGACAATACTGCTGATGTAGTAGTCATGGTAACTGGTGTCTTAAAAGTTTCAAAGTTACGTTAGTTTTTAAACCCTGTAGCAGTATGATCTTGTATGTTTACTTCTTGTTCTGATCCACATCAGCTCAACAGGGGGCAGTGGGGTAGCCTTGTGGTTAAAATGTTCGATTCCCCACATGGGTACAATGTGTGAAGCCCATTTCTGGTGTTCCCTGCCATGATATTGCTGGAATATTGCTGGAATATTGCTAAAAGCGGCTTAAAGGTAAACTCAGTCACTGTTTAACAGGCGTCAGGGTCGATGTATTGATCAGGTTTTCTAATAATTGATCTTGTTGCTAGGTTGGAAAGGTCCACTGTATTGTGCTTGTTCCAATAGTTTATCAGATAGTGAAATACTTGCAACAGCAGCAATAATATGCTACTAGTCACTGAGAATGTTCATCTTACTTATCCTCAGCACAATTTATCACCTTCAAACAAGAATTATTTTCAAAGGCTACGTCAGTGATTGGATGCAATATGGAAAATGAAGTTGTACTTGTGGTATCTTGAATCAATGCCTGCAGTGAATAAATATCTTACCCTTGTCTTAACATCATTGTTTTATGTTTTGCAGAACATGATTCAACTGTCACAGCTTGAAAAGAAGAAATGAATATGTGTCTAACCACGAAAGACTCCATTCTGTTGATCTCTCAGAGGCTGCATATTCACTAAGTTGTGATCGTCACCGCATCAAGATGAATTCCTCAGGTAACCTTAGCAACCTGGACAGTGGAAGTGTTGGGATCAGTGCCACTGAAAGTTTCCACAATGACGGAACCGCAGTGTTATCGGTTCAGTTTGACCGGAAATCCTCCTTTCTGGCTCATGATCACAAGACCTCCACGCCAGGACGGACTGTGTCCAAGCCAATGAGTCTCGACATGTCCATGACGACTTATGCCTCTCTGAAGCCATCGGAAGCGCCGTCGGCCATATCTACCATCAGTGTTGGAGACGGGGACGATGATGTGAACACGACCTTGAGTTTCGAGGAATGTAGTGACCCACCAGGCTCACCTACGTTGCTGGACACGTCTGAAGGATCATCTCCAGCGATGTCCCCACCTCGCTCTGAACATCCGGGTGTTGAAGCAGACCTGCCCTGTTGACCCAAGTACCATTCCCGAGATTCGGGTGGAGGCGGAACCGGAGACACTTTACCCAGAAGACATCAGGGTGCCCATCCAGGGATATGAGGTCATGGAAGAGAGAGCCAAGTTCACTGTGAGTCATTTTAGAAAATGAATTTGAAAAGTCAGAGCTCCAGATAATCTTTTGAGCCATGGGGTAGCCAAATGGTTAAAGTGTTTTCTCGTCAAGTCGAAGACCCCCAGGTTTGAATCCCAACATGGGTACAATGTGTGAAGCCCATTTCTGGTGTCCCCCGCCGTAATATTGATTGAATATTGCTAAATGCGCCGTAAAACCATATTATTCTTCAGTATTGTCTCTATCACAGTATCATTCTTCAGTATTGGCTCCATTAAAGTATCATTCTTCAGTATTAGCTCCATCACCAGAATTATTCTTTAGTATTAGCTCCATCACAGTAATATTCATCAGTATTGGCTCCATCACCAGAATTATTCTTTAGTATTATTCTTCAGTATTGGCTCCATCACCTGTGTTATTCTCCAGTATTGGCTCCATCACCAGTATTATTCTTTAGTAATATTCATCAGTATTGGCTCCATCACCAGTATTATTCTTCAGTAATATTCATCAGTATTGGCTCCATCACCAGTATTATTCATCAGTATTGGCTCTATCACCAGTATTATTCTTCAGTATTATTCTTCAGTATTGGCTCCATCACCAGTATTATTCTTCAGTAATATTCATCAGTATTGGCTCCATCACCAGTATTATTCATCAGTATTGGCTCTATCACCAGTATTATTCTTCAGTAATATTCATCAGTATTATCCATCACCAGTATTATTCTTATTGGCATCACCAGTATTATTCTTCAGTAATATTCATCAGTATTGGCTCCATCACCAGTATTATTCATCAGTATTGGCTCTATCACCAGTATTATTCTTCAGTAATATTCATCAGTATTGGCTCCATCACCAGTATTATTCATCAGTATTGGCTCCATCACCAGTATTATTCTTCAGTAATATTCATCGGTCATCACCAGTATTATTCATCAGTATTGGCTCTATCACCAGTATTATTCTTCAGTAATATTCATCAGTATTGGCTCCATCACCAGTATTATTCATCAGTATTGGCTCCATCACCAGTATTATTCTTCAGTAATATTCATCAGTATTGGCTCCATCACCAGTATTATTCATCAGTATTGGCTCTATCACCAGTATTATTCTTCAGTAATATTCATCAGTATTGGCTCCATCACCAGGTCTTCATCAGTAATCATATTCATCAGTATTGGCTCCATCACCAGTATTATTCATCAGTCTCTATCACCAGTATTATTCTTCAGTAATATTCATCAGTATTGGCTCCATCACCAGTATTATTCATCAGTATTGGCTCCATCACCAGTATTATTCTTCAGTAATATTCATCAGTTTTGGCTCCATCACCAGTATTATTCATCAGTATTGGCTCTATCACCAGTATTATTCTTCAGTAATATTCATCAGTATTGGCTCCATCACCAGTATTATTTTTCAGTAATATTCATCAGTATTGGCTCTATAACTAGTATTATTCTTCAGTAATATTCATCAGTATTGGCTCCATCACCAGTATTATTCATCAGTATTGGCTCCATCACCAGTATTATTCTTCAGTAATATTCATCAGTATTGGCTCCATCACCAGGTTTATTCATCAGTAATGGCTCCATCACAAGTATTATTCTTCAGTAATATTCTCCAGTATTGGCTCAGGGGCTCAATTTTTTTTTAAAAGCCACATTAAGTGACTTTAAGAAAGTAACTTGTCCTGACTAATTTTCCCCTTGCCCTGATTTTATGACATAATCATGATGATGTAATAATGAAAGAATAAATCAACATGGTATTTGATGTTAATGTTTACTGGATTATTTATTGAAAAGTGATAAATAGCAAAGAAAGATAACTCTACTTTACTAAATTTAATAGCTACATTTTGAGCAGATATGAAATTAAAACCAAGTTTATTTGCAGCTTGAAACCGTAAGTGGACATTACCTAGTACTAGTAGCCCACGGACAAGTAAGATACCATTATTTGATTGTCCGAAATGAAAATGACTTGTCCCGGGCGTCGGGCGATGGGATTTTGAACCCTGTGGCTCCATCACCAGTATTATTCATTTGTATTATTCATCAGTATTGGCTCCATCACCTGCATTATTCAGGAGTATTAGTATGTATTGAGAGGTTTGGGTAAATATATATAAGCAAGATAAGAGCATCATTTTACCATGTTTATATTTTTCTTTGTAGGTCTACAAGATACAGGTTGAAAAGTCAGATCATGAATCCTGGTTTGTCTTCCGCCGTTATACAGATTTCAGTCATCTGAATGAAAAAGTATGTTCATACTATACATGCTATTGCCATAGTATTTGTGGTATTAAGGACAATAGGGTAGCCTATTTGTTAAAGGGTTAAAGCGTTCGCCTGCCATACAGAAAACTGGGATTCACACATGGATACAATGTGTGAAGCCTATTTCTGGTTTCCACCATGGTGATAGTGCTGGCAGCGCGAAACCATGCTTATTCACTCAATCTTGGTATTACTGATGTGTAAATCACCCCTGTTTAACTAAAGCTATGTGATGGTGGTCTGTAAATAATCAAGTCTGGGCCAGATAATCCAGTGATCAGCAGCATGTACATTGATGGGATACGATGACGTGTGAACCAAGTCAGCGAGCCTGATCACCTGATCCCGTTAGTTGCCTCTTATGACAAGCATGGGTTGCACAACACCAATTCTAACCCGGACCTTCACAGGTCTTGTTATTAGAGCTAATTGGCCCATTTCCGGTGTCCCCCGCCGTGATGTTGCTGGAATATTGCTAAAAGTGTCGTAAAACCAAATTCAGTCAGTAGAGCTAATTGGTGAAGATAGGATTACAGACTGGCGTATCCAAACAGGGTTGATGATTGTTTAGAAGAGGGCTGCGATGAGTTTTTGCTTCCCGGTTACCTAACCAACAATTACCTATATCTTTACTCAAATATATATGTCAAAATGAAATGTGAACTTCCTCCAAGTTAATGGTGCATTTAGTCTCTCACTGATTCTACATCTAGGAGCTGTGGTCATGTGCTGGAGTGTATGTTGATACTAGTCTTTGATGGAGTTAGATAATCACCAGAGAAAATTGTTGAGCAGACATTTCTGGGGAGTATTAATATCTGTTAGGATCCTTAGAATAGATTGGGACTAGTTCAGATTTTCTGCCTTGGTACCTAATAGCTTAATACCTGATACCCGCAAAGGTCCGGGCTAGAATATCGATCTTCAGTAACCCATGCTTGTTGATCCTGTTTGTTGCCTCTTGCTACAAGCATTGGGTTGCACAACACCAATTCTAACCTGGATCTTCACAGGTGGAAATCAGTTAGAAACATGAACTTCTGCAACTTGTAGTGTAGCTACATGGTAGCCAGTTATTATATTGTTGTGGCTATTGTGTGTGGAGCACAGTGGTGTAGTGGTTAGCATGCTGGCCTCTGATGCCAAAGGCCTGGGTTCAAATCCCGGTGGAGACACCAAAATTTGTGACCTGGGTCTCATACTATGTTGTGTCCTTGGGCAAGGCACTTCGTCCACATTGCACTCAGTCCACCCAGCTGTTTAAAATGGGTACCTGAAAAGCGGATGTACGGACCTATACGGTTGCGCTTAGCGCTTAGTAGCAGCTTTGAAAGTACAATTCCGTCAGGGTAATAATGTAACGCCCAGATAACAGCATCGTGTTGGATTCTAGGCGCAAAAATTAACATTATTATTATTATTCAACAATATATCTTGTGACTAACCATGGGTTCCTACACAGGGCCTGTCTGTCCTGTGTACCCGAGTTCCATCCGTTACGTAACTGATAACTTTTTTTTATCAGTACTAGATAAAGGAAAACTTGTGTACCTAAGGTACTTATCTTTTTCTTTTTTTCAATTTAGTTGCTGAGCATGTTCCCAGGCATCAGACTTTCTCTTCCACCTAAACGCTGGTTTCGTAGTAACTATGAGCGGGAGTTCCTGGATGATCGGTTGCAAGGCTTGCAGGCTTTCCTCAACAACGTCACAGGGCACAGTGACATCTGCAACAGGTTGGGTCAATATGCAATCCCATTTTACTTTTGTGTGATCAGCTATTATCCAGTTGTTTGCTTTCAAATCGGTTCTTCTCTACTGTAGAATCCTAGCCATGTAACAACCATGTTGGAAACCCAAACTGCTTGTCACACTAATTAAAGTATTCCCTTGATACCTGTTACCATGGTTACCAATGTTTGACATAACCATGGAGGTGAGGTGAGGTGAAATTGGGTTGAACGTCGTGCTTGAGAATATTTTGCTCATATGACGACGTGCATGCATGTGTATGTGTATGTGCGGCTGCTTGTACTAGCCCAGACTGAAGCTGGTTTTATAGTGCTAGCCCACTGAGATACCATGCCGCAGTGAAGCATGAATACCCCACTCAGACACATTATACTGACTCCGAGCAGACCAGTCCTTGTTGTACCCATTAATGCCGAGCGCCAGACAGGGACCAACAAGTACCATATTTTAACGTCTTTTGGGGATCGAACCCGTGACCTTCATCTCTCCGGGCGGACGCTCTAACCACTACACCACGGAGGCGATCGTGACATAACCATGGATAAAACTAGACTCACTACAAGGACTACCTGGGATGTGGAAGACTGCTGGTAGTACCCACTGTCCATTTCATGCCCAAATAGTCATTACACTAGGGTATAGGTGGTACAATCAGATAATACACTGTAAATCACTGTGCAGAGTTGCCTCCCTTGGGCATGCAAGGAACCCCTGATCGTGGTCCGAATCCTATATCAGCTCCATGCTCATGGGTTTCACCAAAGTAGTAAATGTGTGATATCTGTATCGCTTCAGGCTTTCCTTCCACTTTCAGTTCACATGTTATGATATGACGAGAATACTGTTAAAAAATGGAGTCTCTCACTCACTCACTCACTCACTCACTCACTCACGCACTCACTCACTCACTCACTCACTCACTCACTCACTCACTCACTCACTCACTCTCACTCACTCACTCACGCCACTCACTCACTCACTATGTTAAATCCAATTTCATGTTACCTAGCTCAGCTCCTACTTTTGATAAAAGAGAGTATCATACTCCCTCTATAATAGATGAAGATAACACTCCTTCCTTCATTACTTGCAGCAAGCCAGTTCGGGAGTTTTTCTGTTTCGATGATCCTCCCGGGCCTCATGACAGTCTTGAAGAGAGTCGGGTAAGTTTCCTGCTGCCATAGTAACACTTTGCTCAACAATATTTAAACTACATGACAATGATCTCTAAAAAAGTAACTCTGAATCAATCCAGTGGTTAACATCATGAGCATCGATCTCCCCAGCTGGGATACGATGACATGCATCAACCGAGTCTGTGAGTCCGACCACTAGGGCTTCATCAAAAATCAAATCTGACACCTTAGTTTCGATTTTCGATAACTATTATCACTATTTCGATTCAATATTTGAATACTCATTTACATTATTTCCACACAGCCAGAACACAATTTTGATTCCAACTCGAGCAGTTTCGAATGCTGAAATAAGGCGAAACATGATTGGTTGACACTGGGCAAATTATCCAATGAGAATTGTTGTTAGTAGGCATCGGCAAGTTGATGATGGGTTTCACGCTAAAAAAAGCCGAGTCGGAGAGTTAAATGAAATCTGATCTTTTTACATGTATGAAGAATCGAATCGAGGGTCCAATATCGAGAATCGAATCGAATCAAGGTCTGGTTGAATCATTGCAGCCTTTCTGACCACCTGGGTGCCGTTGTACAAAACAACCTTAGCGCTAAGGCTACCTTAAGTCAATGTTAAGGTGTGGGAGTTTCGGTCACCTTAGCGCTAAGATCGTTTTGTACAACAGCACCCAGATCCAATTTGTCACCTGTTATGACAAGGATGGGTTGCTGAAGACCAGAGACCAATTTTAAAAAGATCATATCAGGAGCACCTGCCACTGAATAGCATCTTTTATGGTTGCTGATATTGTTTGCAATCGGCCTTGTATCATTGTGATGTACCATGTGAGGATTAGGGGTTAGAACAGTTATTCAGCAACTGATGCTGGCCGTGAGACTTGACAAAATCTGCGGTAATCCTCACATCTGGGAATCTTTTCTCATTATATCAAACACTGGATTGCCTGGTCCATACATGTAGCCATCATGCAGCTGGTATGTTGCCGGGAGAGGTGCTAAACAGCAAAGCCATTGTGATGCTCTTAGCACTCCATATGATAAGCAGTTCTGATGATAATCATCATCGTCATTATGTTCATTCTTCAATTCTTCTACCATTCATGAAGTACATGCATATACTTGCATATACATCTGTCAGTATTATGCATGAAACCAGAAGAGCATTTTGTGTTACATGCCATAAAGGAATATAAAAACCTTGATCTGCAAAAGAGAAAGACTCCACTAGTAGGACATTTGTTTTGCCCATACGCCAGAATCGTTTCAACATCCTTGCATGTTGTTGAGGTCCTTGAATGAAAACAAATCCTGTGTATCTTTCAGGCTCTATGTGAGAACCTGGAAGAGACAACGTACCATCTCCGACAGGTACTGGACGACAGAGACCGGGAGATCCTATTGCTGAGGGAGGAGTTGGACCTATACAAGTCTCAGGTCGCCATGCTGTCGAAACGTCTCCGGTAGGTCAAAGCCTCTGTGATGAAATCAAACAATATCTATGGCAGTCTGTTGGGGATGTCCCAGAGTACGCACCTGCTGTAATATTGTCATAAAGGTCATAGGTCATAGGTCAAAGGTTACAGGTCACCGTGCTGTCAAAACATCTCCAAAAGGTCATGTCAAGGTCAACATGGATTTGTTCAATGATGTCTCTGCATGAATTCATGCTGTATAATTGTCAGGTTTGGAAGATGTGATTTGTTATACTATCTGCAATTTCACAACACTCATGTTGGTAAGGAAAGGAACTATCTACATGTTTCTTACATGTGGTTGATGATTCTGTCATGGTGTGTTTCTGAATGGTGACTGAAAACACAGTAATTTGCCTCCTTGTTTACTCACGATATCATCAGTCAAGGGATATCATCAGTCAGGGATATCATCAGTCAGGGATATCATCAGTCAAGGGATATCATCAGTCAAGGATATAATCAGTCAGGGATATCATCAGTCAAGGGATATCATTAGTCAAGGGATATCATCAGTCAAGGGATATCATTAGTCATGGGATATCATCAGTCAAGGGGTATCATCAGTCTAGGGATATCAGCTTTCAAGGGATATCATCAGTCAAGGGATATCATCAGTCAAGGGATATCATTAGTCATGGGATATCATCAGTCAAGGGGTATCATCAGTCAAGGGATATCATTAGTCAAGGGATATCATTAGTCAAGGGATATCATTAGACAGGGATCATCAGTCAAGGGATATCATCAGTCAAGGGATATCATCAGTCAAGGGATATCATTAGTCAAGGGATATCATTAGTCAAGGGATATCATTAGACATGGGATATCATTAGTCAAGGGATATCATTAGTCAAGGGATATCCTGTTTGTGCAGCTTTCTCTGTTGTATTATTGCATTTTATCTTCTTGTTTATCAACAGGGATTACGATGACTGTACTTTCTCAACTGAGTCTTAGCAGGTGTGCGCACTTTATCTCCAATTTCTTGTGAGAAAAATACACAATAATGAGACTTAATGCATTTTGATTTCCACATTTGAAATGCCAGACAGAAATGGGTATTTTGTGTTTATCTGATGGATGTTATCTGCAGCTGGCGGGATTGTTTCAGGATCAACACTTGGACGAATCATACATCTACACGACAGAAGTACATGAATTTGAAAAATCCTTCTAGAAGACATACACCGACCACATCCAAGCAAACTCCAAGATATAACAGCTTAGTTGTCACAATGATGGAAAGATCTCGGTATCCACGATGACTCACTGGGTCGGTGGAGTCACGTGTGTTATGTGTGCTGAAGCAGAACCAGAACCAGTCAGCTTGAGGATACTAGATTCACAGCTTCTGGAATTTTGATCAACTGTTGTGTTGTGGAGTTTTGATCCACAGTGTCTGATGGAGTTTGGACCTTCAGTGGCTGGTGGAGTTTGGACCCTCAGTGGCTGCTGGAGTTTGGACCTTCAGTTGCTGTCGGAGTTTGGACCCTCCGTGGCTGCTGGAGTTCGGCTCCTCAGTGGCTGGTGAAGTTTGGACCCTCAGTGGCTGGTGGAGTTAGGATCCTCAGTGGCTGGTGGAGTTTGAATCCTCCGTGGCTGGTGGAGGTGGGATCCTCCGTGGCTGATGGAGTTTGAACCTTCAGTGGCTGGTGGAGTTTGGACCCTCAGTGGCTGGTGGAGTTTGAACCTTCAGTGGCTGGTGGAGTTTGTACCTTCAGTGGCTGGTGGAGTTTGGATCCTCAGTGCCTGGTGGAGTTTGGACCCTCAGTGGCTGGTGGAGTTTGGATCCTCAGTGGCTGCTGGAGTTTGGACCCTCAGTGGCTGGTGGAGTTTGGACCCTCAGTGGCTGGTGGAGTTTGGATCCTCAGTGGCTGGTGGAGTTTGGACCCTCAGTGGCTGGTGGAGTTTGGATCCTCAGTGGCTGGTGGAGTTTGGACCCTCAGTGGCTGCTGGAGTTTGGATCCTCAGTGGCTGCTGGAGTTTGGATCCTCAGTGGCTGCTGGAGTTTGGACCAGCTGTGTCTCGAGGAGTTAAGATCAGCATTCACTGGTGGAGTTTGGACCCTCAGTGGCTGGTGGAGTTTGGACCCTCAGTGGCTCGTGAAGTTTGGATCCTCAGTGGCTGGTTAAGTTTGGATCGTCAGTGGCTGCTGGAGTTTGGACCTTCAGTGGCAGATGGAGTTTTGATCCTCAGTGGCTGGTGGAGTTTGGACCCTCAGTGGCTGGTGAAGCTTGGATCCTCCGTGGCTGAGGCTGGAGTTTTTGGACCCTCAGTGGCTGTTGGAGCTTGGACCCTCCTCAGTGGCTGGTGGAGCTTGGACCCTCAGAGGCTGGTGGAGCTTGGTTCCTCCAGAGTGGGACCCTGGAGTTTGGACCCTCCTCAGTGGCTGCTGGAGTTTGGACCCTCAGTGGCTGGTGGAGTTTGGATCCTCAGTGGCTGGTGGAGTTTGAATCTCTGGTGGAGTTTAGGATCCTGCTGTGGCTGGTGGAGTTTGGATCCTCAGTTTGGACCCTCAGTGGCTGGTGGAGCTTGGACCCTCAGTGGCTGGTGGAGGTGGAGTGGCTGGTGGATCCTCACCCTCAGTGGCTGGTGGGAGTTTGGATCCTCAGTGGCTGTGGAGTTTGGACCCTGGCTTGTGGAGTTGGACCCTGGTGGCTGGTGGAGTTGGGATCCTCAGTGGCTGCTGGAGTTTGGACCCTCAGTGCCTGATGGAGTTTGGATCCTCTGTGGCTGCTGGAGTTTGGACCTTCAGTGGCTGGTGGAGTGTGGATCCTCTGTGGCTGGTGGAGTTTGGATCCTCAGTGGCTGGTAGAGTTTGGACCAGCTGTGTCTCGAGGAGTTAAGATCAGCATTCACTGGTGAAGTTTGGACCCTCAGTGGCTGGTGGAGTTTGGACCCTCAGTGGCTTGTGAAGTTTGAATTCCTCCTCGTGGCTGGTGGAGTTGGGATCCTCTGTGGCTGCTGGAGTTTGAACCTTCAGTGGCTGGTGGAGTTTGGATCCTCAGTGGCTGGTGGAGTTTGGACCCTCAGTGGCTGGTGGAGTTTGGACCCTCAGTGGCTGGTGGAGTTTGGATCCTCAGTGGCTGGTGGAGTTTGGACCTTCAGTGGCTGGTGGAGTTTGAACCTTCAGTGGCTGGTGGAGTTTGGATCCTCCGTGGCTGGTGGAGTTTGGACCCTCAGTGGCTGGTGGAGTTTGGACCCTCAGTGGCTGGTGGAGTTTGGATCCTCAGTGGCTGGTGGAGTTTGGACCCTCAGTGGCTGGTGGAGTTTGGATCCTCAGTGGCTGGTGGAGTTTGGACCTTCAGTGGCTGGTGGAGTGTGGATCCTCTGTGGCTGGTGGAGTTTGGATCCTCAGTGGCTGGTGGAGTTTGGACCCTCAGTGGCTGGTGGAGTTTGGATCCTCAGTGGCTGGTGGAGTTTGGACCCTCAGTGGCTGATGGAGTTTGGATCCTCTCAGTGGCTGGTGGAGTTTGGACCCTCAGTGGCTGGTGGAGTTTGGACCCTCAGTGGCTGGTGGAGTTTGGATCCTCAGTGGCTGGTGGAGTTTGGACCCTCAGTGGCTGATGGAGTTTGGATCCTCAGTGGCTGGTGGAGTTTGGACCTCAGTCAGTGGCTGCTGGAGTTTGGACCCTCAGTGGCTGGTGGAGTTTGGATCCTCTGTGGCTGCTGGAGTTTGGACCCTCAGTGGCTGCTGGAGTTTGGAGCTGGTGGAGTTTGGATCCTCAGTGGCTGCTGGAGGAGTTTGGACCCTCAGTGGCTGCTGGAGTTTGGACCCTCAGTGGCTGGTGGAGTTTGGATCCTCAGTGGCTGCTGGAGTTTGGACCTTCAGTGGCTGGTGGAGTTTGGATCCTCTGTGGCTGGTGGAGTTTGGATCCTCAGTGGCTGGTAGAGTTTGGACCAGCTGTGTCTCGAGGAGTTAAGATCAGCATTCACTGGTGAAGTTTGGACCCTCAGTGGCTGGTGGAGTTTGGACCCTCAGTGGCTCGTGAAGTTTGGATCCTCAGTGGCTGGTTAAGTTTGGATCCTCAGTGGCTGCTGGAGTTTGGACCCTCAGTGGCTGGTGGAGTTTTGATCCTCAGTGGCTGGTGGAGTTTGGACCCTCAGTGGCTGCTGGGATCCTCAGTGGCTGCTGGAGTTTGGACCCTCAGTGGCTGGTGGAGTTTGGACCCTCAGTGGCTGGTGGAGCTTGGATCCTCCGTGGTGGCTGCTGGAGTTTGGACCCTCTGTCAAGAGACCTGGTGGTGTGTCAAGCATAGTCTACTGCAGACAAGAGATATGATGGTATGTCTAGCATACAGCCTACTACAGAATAGAGACCAATGATATAGGCACGAATATAAAGCTCTATTTATTACCGAAGTCGTCAAGTTGAGGAAAATAAACCAAATCTACTTTCAAACTTAGGCTGGCTACCCACCTTGGAACGCAATGTCAATAAACATGACATCATAGCATTGTTTGTGTCAAAGTGATATTTCGCCCTGGGGCATCGTATGAAAAATATGACCCCCAATATTTTCGCCCTCGGTAATAATTTCCATTAAGCAACCTTCCAGTTGTGGGTGTATTGTATGGTGTTCTCTATCATATTTTGAGTACATTGTTCTAGAATTTCTAGGTGGTTGCCAGTGCCTTGATGCCAATATCTACAACAGTGAAGCTTTGTCATGATGGAAACAGTATCTCTTTTTCTACTCAAAAACTTACATCATCATGTGGTCAGGTTTGCCGACTTGGTCTGTGCATGTCATCGTCAGTGAGTGAGTGTAGTTTTACGCCGCACTCAGCAGTATTCCAGTTATATGGCAGCAGTTTGTAAATAATCGAGTCTTGACCAGGTAATCCAGTGATCAACAGCATGAGCATCAATCCACGCAATAGGGTTACAATGACATGTGCCAAGTCATCGAGAAGGTCCGTTAGTCGCCTCTTATGACAAGCATTGGTTACTGAAAATCAATTTTAAGCCAGATCTTTACGGGTTGCATGTCATCAGTATCCAAATGAAGTAGATTGATGCTCATATGTCCATCACTGGATTGTCTGGTCCAGACTTCCTTATTTGCAGACCGACATCATATGTGGAATATTGCTGAGTATGCAGAGATGCCATTCCATACGATTTTATTGTATTCATTATGAATAAAACAACACAATATACGCTAGCACGATAGCAGTAAAAATATACAATTTTTTAATAAAATACATTAAATCAAATTATCAAATAGCATACATACCATACACAATAAATTTCAACCACATTTTATTCAGTATCAAGCTTTATGTGGATACTTAATACTGATTTAGGCGAATACACTGTTAATAACAGGCTCTTAGAATATCTATATGTTTTTTATCAAATATGAAAACCCTTTGGAAAAATTAGAAAAATTAGTCATTTGGCATCAGTTTTTGACCAATAGGGCTAAATTAGGGTTGGCATCTCTGAGTGTGGCATTAAACAACAACCAACTACTCAAAGACAAATATGAAAATGTTCGTGTCCAAGTCTTGAGGTCAAACTGAGGTCATGTTTGTTTTGCAGGGAGGTGTCAGGCGTGAGGGACACGTCGGCTCTGATGTCGCCAATATCGAACGAGTTCTCCGTGGCTGAATGTGACATGGAGGTCAGCCTGGAGCCGGAAGCTGATCAGTCTCATCCCCTGCCCTCTAGTGACAGCAGGTACGGTCTTGTACTCTCATTGTACTCATACACATAGAATGCAAGATTTCAACTGAATAATTTTTGTTTAAAATAATTTTTAATGGTATTAGTCATCTGAAGTAAATTATTTTGGTAAGCCTATTTCATTGCATGGATTATTTTGTAAACTTGACCAAACTATTCTTATCTTTATTTTTCTGTTTTGATGTCATTTTTAATATTTCTCTTTCATTCCCATTTATACCATTCTCTTCTCACAGAGGTTACTTGTCATATCTTCCTACAAACATCTGTTCTAATACGGCCTTTTCATGGTGCAGGTCTTCAGGCCTCGTGATTGGTTGCAATCAGATTTAGTTGTGCAATCAGCGATGTTGTTTCAAAAGTGATCATTCGCAAGGTCTCGGTAATTTCCATATGCTTTGGGAAAACTAGAACCTCTTCCCCTGCACGATGCACAAACATTTCTTCTAGACAGAACTCAGTCATGTAATAGCGGATCACTGGCGCCTCCATCGCCCTTGTTGACAACGGGCAAGCTAGCCATTAAATGCCTTGTGTGTCACATCAACACAAGTCCCCGGCAGAGGAGGGATATTTGTGGCCCCACATTTGCTTGTATTAGTCTAGTTGGATCTAAGTCGATGTAACATGTGTTCTGATTGGATAGAGAGAAGGGAGATAATTCGTGTTGAGATTTTTAGCCGCTAGGGGATTTTAGGAGAACCGCGAATTAAGGCCTTTTTAGAACAGAGGTTCATAGGAAGATACGACAAGTAACCTGTGGGAAGAGAATGCATTTATACATGTTGATATAATGTTTCAGGAAGTTTTAGTCTGATGTGGTTAATTGTCAGATACTGTCAAAACTTTGTGTATCCCATTTTGTTTGGTCAAACAACACCAGGTTAGGCATATTCCTAAAAGTCAAAAACCCATGAAGATCCGGGTTAGAATTGGTCCTCAATTACCCATGCTTGTTGTGAGGGTGACTAACGGGATCGGGTGGTCAGGCTCGCTGACTTGGTTGACACGTCATCGTATCCCATTGCGTAGATCGATGCTCATGCTGTTGATCACTGGATTGTCTGACTTGATTCCAGACTCGATTATTTACAGCCTGCTGTCATATAGCTGGAATATTGCTGATTGTGGCATAAAACTAAACTCACTCACTCCTTAAAGTCAGCACCAGTCATAGTTGGGTTATTTAGACACCATTTGTATGTCAGTCAGTGTACCCAGTGGCATGGGTGGTCCAGCTGGCTAGGGCACTGTGCCCTGATTTTGTTTCTAAGTTTGCAGCTCAATACCCATGCTCAGTGCTGAGTGATGAATGTGTGAGATTTGCATCACTATGGGATTGCCTTACACATTTAAACTGACATGCCATGATACCATTGGAATACTATAAACAGCTTATACCCAAACTTACTCCCTTCCTGACTTTCACAGCTTACAAACTCAGGGGTGGAAATAACTTTAAAATTGATAGTGTACTCCAGTACAGTGGCACATGTAAAGTCACTTGCCCTGATAATTTTTTCCACTATACTGCCCGTTTTCTTGCTGATTTTTTAAATAAACAACATAAATAACATTGGAAAGTCAACTGGACACTGGTACAGTGTGATATACAAATTTGCTTGCCCGACAGAAAAAAACACTGGACTCGGATGTCGGGTTATTTCCACCCCTGAAACTGTCTCTGAAACCTGAGTTCGTAAGAATTCCAATGTAACCCTTCCATTATTTTAAGGCCTTCAGTTTTATGCTGTTGTTACACATTCCACTGACTGGAGACCATGGTTTCCTTGCAGACTCGAGGATGGGAATCGGGAAACTTCAACACCGATTCCAGACAAGGATCATCCGGCTGTCGGAAAGAGCCCCCAAACATCCCACGTGGTCCCAGTCATGGTGCACAGCGAGGCAGAAGATAATACATAGTTGGAGTTACCTCCCTTCTGCTCCATTATCGTGGCCAAAAGTGTGAACAAACCTGTTGGAATCTGCATACATGGTGCTCGTCAATATTTAACCTCCCGAGAACTCTAACATGAAATGAAAACTATCTAAATTCTCAAGTTACCATTTGGAATTAATCACGAAATCGCATATATACCGCATGTATGTGATCTGCACAGCCTTGCTCATAAATAACTGTGACGTTCACATATTGTCACAGTACAGTGTGTGGAATAATATAATTCTTTATAGTTGTATCTTCACAAGACACTGGTGATATTTCTGGGTGTCCGACCCTGTTTTCTGAAGTGCTACTCTCTCTCACAATGTGGATGACATTTTATACACGTGCCTTTTGAATGTTTTGTTTTGTATCAATTGAATTAATTTCATATTCACACGATAATGACTGCATATTGGCACTTTCACAATTTGAATATTTATTGCTCATGTAGATACACACTGTACATATTACATGCTAATGGGATAATGCATGTCCGGAATTCTGTCTACAGAACAATCATGACTGGATGAATTGTATATAAATACCATCGTCCCAAATTCGGTGATAATCTTGTACATATAACGCATTTATGATAACTTATTTGTATGGAGTTTCCCTACAGGCTGCAGAGACCATCACTTTCTATGTTATTTCAATTTAGAAAAAAATAGTTCCATATGTTTAGCATCACAATTAATTAATAACTGAAGTATTAAGCAGCCATGAATACATTTCCATGAATACGTATTAGTAGAGATCAAATTTGATTTGATTACTGGTAACAGTTTGTGTATTTCAAAAGTCCTTGGTCTATGATTTCAGCTGTGTACTGTCAAGTAGGAAGTATTTGAAATTGTTCAGGATATCAAAGTCAGTCCGAAAAATGTTTAAAATTATTTACATTTACATTGAGTATTTCTCCATTTGTGTCTCAAGTTTGCGCAAAAATAATGAACATATTTTTACTACATTGAAATAACAGAAAGTTATGGGCTGTAGAGCTGTGTGATGATACTGACAGTCTATGCCAGAGTACTTATCTTGTGTTCAGCATTGCTTTAGATTGAGATAAATGCTTTGCTTAGATATACTCCAGCAGCAATGAGAGGTAGTTTTGTCACTTGATATTACAATTCTGATCTCAACTTTGCAATTGAAAATATATAGCTGACCTGTACTGTTATAATTTTGAATTTAATGTCCTATTTTTTTATTTCCTTGAATACCATTACTTATTATTGTAAGGTTCCTATTTTTTTTAGTTCAAATGTAAAGATTTTGATTGTTGAAAGTGGATAAATTTGCACGATGAATTTTATCTGTTTTAACGAAATCTGAGTCAGTATTATAATATTATTCTGATTTCCTGATGATTTTATCTCTTTTAGTGGTAATTCAGAAAAGGTTTTAGGACAAATATTTGTTGATTGGTTGAAAACAGTATTATTCCAAAGGTGTTGTTAAGTTAATGGTTTCCTTTGGAAAAAGATATTTAATCTCCCCTTAAAATTGTTAAAACGGGAATATATATAACCAGTGAATTTTAATATAAGTTATTTCCATTTTTGTTTTATCTGGGAAACAAAGCTGTTATTGGATTTTCTTCTTCAAATCAGTATTTGTAATATTGTTTTGATTTTTCGACTTCTTTCGCAAGCGGTGAGGATATTTATGGTATCATCTTGTATACCCAGTAAAGAGTCCTCAGAATAACATGCTGGTATTAAGGGCTGACAGAGCATTAGCTGGTGACATTGGCGGATTATGACTTATCATAGATCGTCAAGCTCCTCACAGTGATAGCCTGTCCACAGAACTGTTCAAGCTTTGGCTCCTCAAGCAGATTCGATTATCCATGTGGGTACAATGTGTGAAACCCATTTATAGTGTCGCTGTCATGATAATGCTGCAATGTGTTGCTGCAAGCGGCATAAAACCTCAATCAATCAATCACTCAATCACTCACCAGTCACAGCTCCACACTGTGTGATGTTCACTGATCACACCGAAGACCCGGGTTCGATTTCCCACATGTATGTACAATGTATGAAACCCATTTCTGGTGTCCCCTGCCGTGATATTGCTGGAATATTGCTAAAAGCGGCATAAAACTAAACTCACTCACTCATTATGTCATGAAACAATCGGATCAGACAAACATAAACTCATCCTGAAAGAGTATGTAAATCTTTTCCAAATTCATTACGATGTTATTTCCAATGTTCTATTTCAATGTCAAGTGTTCTCGTCCCGATATGGCTGAAATATTGCCGATGTGACGTTAAATAATAACTCACTCACTCACTCATTTCCAATGACAAACACAAGAGCATATACATGCATGTTAGCACATTTGGGGTGTCCACAATTTGAGATTTATAAGTCACGGTCACAGCTTCCCACTGTGTGATGGGGTGGTGGGGTAGCCTAGTGGTTAAAGTGTTCAGTTCATCACGCAGAAGGCCCAGTTTCGATTCCCAACATGGGTACAAGGTGTGAAGCAGATTTCTGGTGTCCCGTGCTGTAATATTGCTGGAATATTGCTAAAAGCAGTGTAAAACCCAACTCACTCTCTCACTCACTTCCTACAGCATGACTCAAATGTATGACACCTACATAATATAGTCCGTTTGGCTCAAAAGCGGACCGATGAATTGCAATCTAACTCGAAAACTAATAACCATAAAATACTCAATGAACACTGATCATAATGAAAACGTCACACCAACTCTGAGAGGTGTTTGCAGAATTGATGTCCTAAAAATAAAAAGTTGTTAAACAAACTATCATTAAAATATCGACACAGTTCACTATTTGTTACGAGGGAGGAGTGCTGAGAAAGGGACAGCCGGGTGTGCGAGAAAGGATGGAGCGGCACAGCACAGGTTAATGAATCAATAACTTTGTCGGCACTTGTGCACATGCTTCCTAACACCTGGCTGTCCCTTTCTCTGCACTCCTCCCTCGTAACAAATAGTGAACTGTGTCAATATTTTAATGATAGTTTCTTAAACAACTTTTTGGTGGAGTCCGGAAAATTTTCAAATATAAGAAAGCTGTTGGGTATTAGTAAATGATAAACATGTGTACTATTTATATTTTTGTGGCAGTTTTGTACAATGAAAAAATTTGCAATTCATCAGTCCGTTTCTGACTCAAACAGACTGTACAGCTCTTCAGTCTTTGGAGGCTGGTTACCTTGTGGTTATATGTGTAGCTTATCCTGCTGCGAGTCCTGGTTTGATTCCCACAATGTGTGAAGCTCATGTTTGTTGGCCTAGTCGTGAAATTGTTGGAATATTTTCAAAAGCTGCGTAAAACGATCATCACTCACCAATGGCTTGTTTCCCTATCAGTTCTCTTTGTAAATAATGAACTAAAACTGTATCTACTTGGAATCCTATTTTTATTGTTTTTATTTATTTTTGTTTTGCATTTTTCACTTATTTCAACCTTAGCTTTAGTCTTGTGTGTGCAATAGTCGAGACAGTTAAGGCTTTTGTCCTAATGTGGTGTGTTGGGGCATTGTTTGCGTTTTTCTTAGTTGGTTTAATTACACAGTGTTCATGAATAGTCAAATTACATCAACTGCAGAAACAAGTAAAGCTGAATGTAATGTATTTGAATGTCAGAGCTTTAAACAAACAACCATATTTAAACAATAAATTAAAATTATTTTTTAGCCATTCTAGAATACAGAGATAAGAAAATAAGACTCCCTTGGAAGTTATTTTTTTATTTCTGTTTGTACAGATGACAGTTTCTGATATGCCAATCATTACTTATATCTTTACTCTTTTTGTAATTTTATAGCATTCATTACAATATTTTCCACCCAGTTCCACCAAAACAAATACGAGAAAGGTATTATGAATTTTGTCAAACAATACTTTGAGAGTTTGTTCAGTTCTTGACCTCCTGGCAGCCATTGTCAATTGCACAACCAATAAGTTATCATTTTTCTTAGGTTGTGAAAAGGTTTACACATTTCCGAGTGATTATTTTGGCAAAATATTATTTATTTTCATCACAACCATAGAGTTATTTTTGCTAATAATGATTACTAAATTATATTGAACATTGATTGTAGACCCCATTTATCCAAGATAGGAACGCCGCCATATGGCTGGAATATTGCTGAGTGCGGCATAAAACTAAACTCACTCACTCACTATCCAAGATAGTGTGAATAGCTACAGTCTACAATAGCTACAATCTACAATAGCTACAATGTTTGTGTTTTAGCCAGTCATAGGTAGATGCCACTATATACTACTCAACAGAAGTTAAGGAACACTTCATTCTTTCATATGTAAAGTACTGATGGATAATGGTCTTCTTAACTTCTCTTGAGGAGTATTCATGGCTTGTGGTAAATTCTATGTCAGTGTGTTTCAGCCTTAATGCAAATCTCACTCAGTTTACAAACACATACACAGTTTGACTCGTGTATAATCTTCAAGCATCATATGTTTAACATTTCAGTTTGCCTAAATGATGCCACTAAGCAACCTTTTTACCCCTCTGACTCTTATTTTAATTCGGCAAACTTATTTCAGAACATAGCTACCATAACTATTACTTTTATCCTTTTCACAACAATTCATGAACGTTAGTGCATATCTAGTTTGAGTGATGTCAAAGATGCACTAAACATGCCAAAAAGTCTTGTAGCTTTTATTTTGTGGGAGTAAGCAGGTTAGAGTTACCTGCTCTTGCTTTAGAATCTGAAAAATATAAAAGTCAGACAGGGAAAAGATGTGGATGGGGACTGAATTGAAATATTTTGTTAGGCATATTGTGTCGTATGGGGGTTAAATTGTTTCACTCCATTACCTCATGGAAACTTGACACTCGTAAAATACAGAAGTTACTTTAAAAACGTATATCATGATGCATGTCATGACTTGACTGTATCATGTCTATCCTGGTGCTAATTGTTTAGTGTTGGAACTGTGTGAGATTCTCACTAAGATGGTGTTTACAATACATCAAGCTGAATACATCAAGATAGTCAGTGTCTAGTCAATACAGTGTGCTTTCAGTGTGAACTATTTCCATGACCTGTTCAGGGCTCTAATTTAGGAATGCATCCATTCAGTTTTATTTTGATGCCTTTGTTATTTTGCTTGATTTGTTTGCCACAAGTATTTGCTTCAGGGCTGCTTTAGCAGGTTGTTTCAAGAGTTGTTTGAGGAAATATCACTTTACATCAATTTTGTTTCACCTCTTTTTACGATTACCAGACTATCCTTTAAACAAGAAACATAATTGATGATGCTTTGATAAATATGTGTACAACTGTCTTGAAGTTGGTTAAGAAGTGTCCAGTTCTGTCATGCCATGCTTTCCATATGTATATATTCTGCAAATATATCTTTTGATATATACCAAAAGAAATTGGTGATTTACAAATTAAAATGTTGACTTGTAACAGGTGTCTATACTCTACCGATGTCACGCATAATAACAAGTGTCCAGTTCTGTCATGCCATGCTTTCCATATGTATATATTCTGCAAATATATCTTTTGATATATACCAAAAGAAATTGGTGATTTACAAATTAAAATGTTGACTTGTAACAGGTGTCTATACTCTACCGATGTCACGTACACAACTCCGCATAGATTTGTACAGATGTATTGGCATGTTGCTTCATGTGCTTATTTCCGAATTATTTTTATACAAAATGTTGCTTTTTGTGAAGAGCACAGGTAGCTTGTTTTATACACAGAGAGATTATGGGTGCACCTTCATAATGTCAAACATTGTCTTCTCTCTGGTGTCCAAATCAGGCAAGGAGTAACAGGATTCCCATGGGAGCACAGTTAAGCCTGAATTAAACACCAGTAAAGCTTACATTCAGCACTAGCAAGGCTTGAATTAGGGACAAGAGATGCTAGTACAAGCCAGTGAAGCTTGCGTTTAGCATTAGAAAGGCTTGTATTTAGTGCAAAAAGGTCTGTATTTAGCAGTAGTAAAAAAAGGTTTGTACTACCAACTTTAAGGCTGGTACATTAGTAAGGCTGAATTTAGTACTGGTAATGTTACTACTGCCACTGGTAAGGTTTGGTTCTAGCACTAGTTAGGATGCTCGGTAATCGGCTCCATGGGAATACCAGTAGAATATTGTCGGTCCCCTTCAAGGACT